AGGTATTAGATATGTCCTTAAAGTCCTGGTTCAGCCAAGAAAAACTTTCATTTTAAAACTTCCTTCTTCTTCCTCCTGCACATTCTTAGTCCAGTTGCTGGCTTCTTCGTGGCGGCCATTAAGACCGCTGCTCCACCGCCTTGAGAAAAGGGGGTTATTGCCGGCTGGGGAGGGGGTCTGCGATACCTCTCAACCCCTGTCCGGATCGTCCCTATCTTCAGCTACCCCAACAGGGCAGCCTTATCCTCCAGATCCATCAGGATCGGAGGCACCAAGACGGCTAGCACAGCAGGGATCGCGGAGAAACGCAAATCCCTGCCGTCACCGAAGCCTGGCAAACCGGAAGTCCAGAGGATTTGATTATTAAAGGTCATAAACCACCCTTACATCTAACAGGACAGGATCTCATTAGCATAGCTTTCACTCGTACAAAAGTTGAACATGAGCATTTGATGATGATTTCAGAATCATATCAGATAGCCTTTTCTCAATATGTGGGAAACTTATTGTATTCTTTACCCAAGGATCCTAGAATAGTGGTTACTACTACTTTAAATCTGGCCTTTTTTTCCATTTTTGTGCGAAATCCTATTTCTAAAGCTCTTACAGTTTTTACTGATAGCTCACCTACAAGGGGTGTGGTCGTCTGGCAGATTCAACAACAATGGTATTCTAAATTTACTGCCACGCAGACTTCAGCTCTACATAATCACCACATTTTTTTTCGTAATTAATATGCTGCCCATCCCTGAAGGCTCTAGGTGACTTAATAGTCAAGATTAGCATAAAATAAAAAGCAACCCCCTTCAAAAATAAACTCACAAACTACTTCATAATATAAACAAAATTGGTATCAAAACAACAAATACACAGAGCAATGTGCCTGCTAGATTCTAACCTTCACTCATAACATACCTTCTTCCTGCACTAAATGGCACACCCAGGTTTTGATGCCTCTGGGGCAGGGGTGTCAAACTCATGTCATCAAGGCAGTGTCACGTGACATATCGGGACTTTTCTCCCCTTCACTAAACAGGTTGTGGCCGTGGCCAGCACATGACACATCTGGCCTGCGGGCTAGGAGTTTTGACAGCCTTGCTTTAGGGAAATCCAGGTGGGAAGTGACACACTGGATCTCTGGGAGAAAGGAATCCTAAGTGGTGATTGAAAATGCCTGCCCCTGAAGTCCCTTCACATGACTATCTTGTGCAGACAGGACATGGAAAAAGCTGATTCTTTCTGATTAAATGAGGAAATAAAAACAGGGAAAGGTGGCCCTCTAAATATCTGGATATCCACAATTGACTGCTTTAATTAGAGAAAAGAACATATTCAACATTGTTCCTACTTGGAAACCACTTCTGGACATTGTGCTCAAGATAGAAAAATGAACTTTTGATGTCGGGTTTTGCTGATTAATACAGACTATTGTTAGTATTTCTTAAGTAAAAAGCTGAGGCTGTAATTTTATGTTGTACTTTGCTGCACTGAAAAAAGTTGGGAGTCGATGGTTTTGAGGGATCCTCTCTGAGCTTTCTTGCAGATGTTTCATTACCCTAAGTAGGTAATATCATTAATGTTAATAAAGAGTGCTGTTTGCTCTCAGTTTATATTCTGGGGTCTTGCCGATGTGGGTGGGTGGGGGTGGTCTTAGAAATTCTTTGGTTGGGCTGTTTATTGATGGCTCTTTGGCAGATTCGTGACTGGGGTAATCTGTATTTACTTGACCATTGGTCTGAAATTTACCTATGGAGTTAATTTCAGACCAATGGTCAAGTAAATACAGATTATTGATCTGGGTGCTGATTACTGGTGGAGAGGGGCTGGAATCTTTTTTAACTCTTTTGGGCTGGTTGGCTCTTTTGCATCGTCTATAGATGTTGTTAATGTCTATGTGTCTACTAATGGCTGATTTGTCAGAGTGCCAAGTTTCTAAAAATCCCTTGGCATTTTTGGACTTAGCCTGGTCTAAGATGGTCACACACAAATTATGGTTAGATCTGTCTATAAGTTGTGAAAGGAAAGAATTTTCGTCATGCCTTCTGACTTCCAGTTGGTGTTCATGGATGTCTTCTGCAGTCTTCTGCCTGCTTGTCGTATGTAGTGGTTGTTTCAGTTCTTACATTGTATGTTGTAGATGACTCCTGTTTTTCTCCTGAAGTTGCTGGGTCTTTTGGTTTGCTTAGGGTATTTTGAAGGTCTTCAAGGTCGATCCTTTTATACTTACACCCTATAGAGATTCTCAGTCATCCAGGTCATGGCTGTCCCAAAGGTGGTTTTTCAGGAGGCAACTGGACTTTCTGGTTTTTCTTTTGAAACTTTTATCCTTACATTTTCCTTCCCCCTTTCTTCCTCTTTCTCCACTCTGTTTATTTTCATTTGTATTTTATATTGTGAATTTTTTTTAGTAAAATTGTTACTAGACAACTGGATATCCACCTAGAGATTTAAAATGGACAACAAGCACCTTCAATCACATCGGGAAGTGTGTTTCTTTCTGAGTTGGTTTCTTCTCTTTCAGACCTTGACGGTAATCAGGCACCGGTTCTATAGCTTTACCTGTTTGCCTGAGGTCAAGCTGTACACTTGGGTTTCATTAGCATACTTAGGATGCCAGAACCCATGCTGATGAATGACCTTCCCTATCAGGATGTTAAAAAAAAAAAAACCACTGGACAAAGCTTTGAGGTTCTCCACAAAAGAGAACCCTACCTAGTTCTCTATTCCCTCAATGTTTGAAATCACCTTTTTAGGAAGATGGAGAACTACTGTATGGTAACATAATGTCTCTTCCCACCTCCTGTTCCCAGTTTCGGTCCAGAAAGACACCACAGTTGGTGGTATTAATACCTCCATTCCGAGATATAAGAGGACCAGGAGGGTTGCTCTCCCCTCATCCTTGTCCTTCCAAAGTTTGTTGAGATGACAATGGCTGAGTGTTAAACAGTTATTCAATAGCCTTGTGCAGTTAGAACAATCACTCAAGGTTAGTTAGTTCCACAAGACTGATTAGATACGGAAACTGACTTCATAGAATATTGCCACAGGCCTGAGCAGCAGAAGGTTCTTCTTGTCTTTTTCCTTCTCGTCTTCTCAGAGAGTCAGAGCGGTGCCAGCCTTCTTATACTTTTCTGCCTCCCTGGATTTAACATCCTATTTCTTCTGTACCTGTTTCATAGATTTATCATAGAATAACAGAGTTGGGACGGACCTTGGAGGTCATCTAGTCCAACCCCCTGCTTGAGGAGGAGAGTCTATTCCAAATATTAGCCTCTGCCTAGGATCAAACTCACAGCCTCCTGATTGTGAGGCGAGAGCTCCTGTTCTAAGGGCTTCAAGATGCCTTCTATAGGTAGTCCTCAACTTACATCAGTCCATTTAATGACAGTTCGAAGTTACTATAGTACTGGGGAAAAAATGACCATTTTTTACATTTATGATGGTTGCAGCATCCCCATGGTCACATGATCAAAATTCAGATGCTTGGGAACTGACTCCTACTTATGACAGTGTCCCAGGGTCACGTGATCACCTTTTGTGACTTTCTGACAAGCAAAGTCGATGGAGATGTCAGATTCACTTAACAACCATGTTACTAACTTAAAAACTGCAGTGATTCACTTAACAACTTTGGTAAGAAAGGTCATTGAGGGGGCAAAATGTCTCACTTAGCAACATAAATTTTGGGCTCAGTTGTGGTCCTAGATTGAGGACCACCTGTACAAGACTATCCATATCCAGCAAATGTATAGATTTGAACCACTTTCCCAATTCTCCTTCAACACTTTCACTCCAATGTCATTCAGGCTGTGGTCTTTTCACCAGCAATATTTCCCTCCAAGAAGGATTTCCAGAAAATAAGATGACATTACAATTTCACAGACTTTCTCACAGTGATGTCTCTAAGCCAGGTTCCTGGATAGCTAATTAATTTTCCATCAATGTTTTCAGTTCCTGGAAGAATTGATTTTTTTAAAGTATAAAAATTTAGTAAAAATTGTCCCTCTCTGACCCTTTTAAAGCTGGCAATATAGCTTTGGAAGAAGAAGCTTAGTAGAAATGTGTTGATAATTTAAATTTGGTCCATGTCAACAGAGGATGCAATCAATATTTAGTCGCTAAGCTGTTCCATCAGATTCTCAGTGAATTATTGTTTTGAATAAAAAACCAAAACCCAAGACTGTTGTTGCGGGTACATTTCTTCAGCACTCATATTTTTTCAGACAAACCCATCTCTTTATACAACTCTCTTTATTTTTAAAAAAATACTTTTTTGTGTATGTTGCCCAGAGTCACTTCTTGTATTATGTATGATCATATAAATTTGATACACACCAACATACATACATACATACATTCTCCCTAAGATTCACATTTTTGGGAGTGGTACACATTCAATGTATTCAAGGCAATGTTTCAAACTAGCCGATCCAAAGCGATTTATAATATCGCAGCAATACAGCCCCAAATATGTACGTAGTAATAAGTTCATCACCTACAATACAAGATCTGTGGCTCTGCATCCGAAGACAATAAACGTCTCCCAAAAGCTTCTCAAACAGCTAGCTCTGAGTAAGTTTTCGGAACAAACATCGTGTATCTTCGTTAAAATAACATTTTTGGCGCGCCGTTTCCAAGAGCCAAAAAGCTGACAGTTCGTTCTTCTCTTGCCTGTCCTGTCCTGTCTCCCCCAAGTTTGCGTTCACTATCCGCTTTTCTTTTACATTTTTAGATCGAAGAACGAAATATGTTATCATCACCTGATGGATTCTCCTTCCATCCCAGAGCTAGTTAGATAGTGGCGGAGAAATCCCAACAATACACAGATACGCGCACACACCCTTTTCCAACTTCTCCCCTCCATCCTCCCCAAAGAAATTCCGCTGCGACGGGATTGCATCTCCCTAAAGTGTTTAAAAATTAATAACGGCCTGCTTTCTGGGGAGTTTGTTTTTGTTTTGCAAAGGGTTAAAGCAAAATATGGATTTGCTGTACTGTACCCCACTTTCCGTGTGACTCACCTGCCGTTGATCAAGTGAGACCTTCGCAGCTTTAGATGGTCCTGGAAGCAGCGGCGGCGGGTTTTCATAGCTCCTCTCCCCACTTATACCACTCCCCCCCCCCGGGGGAAAACACAGGCGGTCAGCGACACTGGAGGCATCGCATTGGCCGCCAACAGCTCCTCCCTTTTGCTTGAACTTCATCTCAAGCAAATTAGAACCAAGTCTACTTCGGAGAAAGGGAAGAAGGAAAAAAAAACACATATTCTCCATCTTCGGTGATTTTGGAGACGAAATGGGGAGTGAGCATAAATGCAAACCTTCCTCATTCGGCCGATGACTAGCGAGCAGATGCCTCCATTCATCCAACAGAGCAGGGAAAAGCAGGAGGCGAGCGGGAAAAGGCTGGAGTGCGCATAAACAGAGCTCCCCGACGGGATCCATAAACCGCACTACTGTACTGGATTACCTGTAGGCGAGCCACCTGAAGGCGACTTTTCCGGCATGCGGAAAAGTCCCTCACAAACTCCCTCCTGGGTTTGTGTAGTGTGTAAATCCATTTTGTTTTTGTAATTGATTAAAGTATATACTATACTACAATGTAGATAGATAGATAGATAGATAGTTATAGATATATAGATATAGATATAGATATATAGATATAGATGTTTTCTTAAGTTTTCGCGGGTACTTACATGTATGGTATTCAGCTTTGTTCCGGTATTTTCCCACGTCATTGTAGTTGCGCTTTTAAAGTTGTAGCAACATTTCAGCAGAATCTCATCTGCCATCATCAGGCTTCTGTATTGTGTTCGTCTGTGACAAAAATACCTGAATAAAGCTGAATACCATAGATATAGATATAGATATAGATATAGATATAGATACAGATACAGATATAGATAGATAGATAGATAGATAGATAGATAGATAGATATACACATGTTCGCCACCTTCAGTTATTTCTAAAAGTAATCAAGGCCGCTGTAACTAAATAGAGTAAATAAATATATGCCCGTATTCTTCCCTCTGTGGTGAATCAGCCAATTTTGCCAAAACATGTCCTCAGAATTCCAAAGCGAGCACAAGAAGGTTGGAAAGCCCCGGCATACATATAAAAATGCTGGTATGGGAGACTGCAGAATACCCCAAACACAAAGATAAAAATACATCTATTGTAAAAAAAAAAACCCTTAAAAAAACAAAATGCAACAAAGGAAAAAAAAGATTTTTTTAGCAGAAATTAGTTACAATTCTATAGTATAATTATTCAGTGCAATTGCTTTCAAGTGCATATATATTTCTTATGCATTTATATAACTCAGGTTTTTTTTTTAAAAAAAACAATTATTGTATTTTATATAAATGAATCCCATGTTTCATTATACTTGTTCATACAAAGTCTACATCTATAGGGAATTCATTCATAGGTGGCAATTGCGATCAGGCAGTTTCTATTTTATTTTTATTTTTGCTTTATTTAATCCTACTTCTGTTGAAGATTTGTGGGTACTTATTTTTTCTTTTTGTCTGTCCTGAACCGTGGGTGGGAATTGTAGAGATTCTTTTACGGAACTAAGCAATTGAAAACCTTGTTTTTATTAATGCTGAACTACTTGGTTAGGAAATAGCTAACTCAATAAACACCACTGCCAGCTTTAACAGATTAATGATTATTTTTTGTTTTTATGCTTGGCATTAGCATTTCTGCTTTGTAGTCTTTAGTCATGTTGTGGTTCTAATTTGTTTGTCCAACTGGATTTTATGTTCTTTGCTACTGGTACCAAGAAAGGCAGACCATGGAAAACCTGAAAGGAAAACACAAGCTTGTTTCTGGCTCTGGAAATGGTCTTCCTAGGTGGTCAGAGGTTGGGGTCTGAGGGTAATGTTATCCAGAATGGAAAAGGATTAAAAACTACTGTTCTGGATGTTGTCTCCACTGAAAGAATTCAGGCAGTGATCCTTTGTTTGAATGGTAAAAGATTTGTCCGGCCAAAGTAGACAGATTACAGTGTAGAAGAAGTGAAATTTAGGGTGCATATTGAAGATGAGAGTGGGGAAACAGGAGAAAATCTGACTTTTCAAACCATCCAGATGTCCTGGGAGGCTGTTGAGTCATGTATATGTTATAGGGGTTTATGTGGGGGCCTGCTTTGATGTTGTCTCAGCAATGGATATTCAATGATTTAACTTTTACAGGTAATCCTTGACTTAACGACCACAACTGAACTCAAAATATCTGTTGCTGAGCTAGACAGTTGTTAAGTGAGTTTTGTCCAATTTTATCACTTTTCTTGCCATGGTTTTTAAGCGATCACTGCAGTTGTTAAGTTGGTAACCTGGTTGTTAAGTGAATCTGGCTGCCCCATTGACTTTGCTTGTAAGAAGGTTGCAAAAGGTGATGACATGATCCTGGGTCATTGCAGCCATCATAAATATGTGCCATGGCCAAGTGTCCAAATTCTGATCACATGACCACAGGGATGCTGCAGGGATTGAAAATGTGGAAAATGGTCACACGTCACTTTTTTCAGTGCCACTGTGACTTCGAACAGCCACTAAACGAATGGCTCAAGGTCAAGGACTACCTGTGTTTCATGATTAGTCATTATTCCACAGACAAATTTTCTTCTGCAAATTTGATTTTCCTCCTTTTAAAGTAACGTAAACCAGCAGCCTTATATATTATGATAGCCAATCCCATTGTTTACTTATGGTCTCTGGGTATATATATAAAAGGGGTGGTGGTGGTGGTCTACTGAATGCTTCCTGGCCAACATTTGGAGGAAAAGAAAAGTAAAGGCCCTCTCCCCATTTGCACTTAATCATAATGCCATCTTGCCTTGACTGTTCTCCTTTTGTTCATGAGATCACATATAGTCAGAGTTCACACCAGTTTCTTCTCAAGGACTTTAGAGACTCGGGGTGATTGCTTTTGGTGCTTCTTGCACCTAGTGGGGTGAATCTAGCAAGTTTTCTACCCTGCTATCCAAAACCCAATTTGGAGAGATTGCAAAGGTATGCAGAAACGGCTTAATGTTAAATAGCATGCTGTGAAAGCTGGGTGATTATATGTTAAAGAAATTTCACTTTCAACATCTGCCGAGGTCAACAGACTACAGGTTACAGCAAAGGAGATGACTTAAAGATAGGGCCATGAACTTTTTTGATCCCCATGGGTTTCTGTTAGTATTGTTGAGGGTTACCCATAAGGCAATCTAAATTCATAGCCAGGTCCCCTACTTTAGGGACTTTTCTGACTGAAAGTGAAGGCAGCTTCTCTTTGGAGAAATCTGGAGCAAACAGCTCACATTTGGCTTTCTTCCAGCTGCTTTTGATATTTTTCAAGTATGGGGAGGAAATACCTCAGATGGCAATTTTAAATAGTCCACCCTTTTCTTAACTTTTTATTCTCAATTTATGACCACAATTGGGATCAAAAGTCATTTAAGAAGGTCACTGAAGAGTACTGGGTCTAAGACAGAATCCTGTGGTACCCTACTGCTTACTTCCCTCTGTGTAGTTGTAGTTCTATTAAGAAGTACGGTTTGTCAGTCAGAAGTCCATCTGGTGGTGATACTGTCTATCCAACATTTTTCTAGTTTACCAAGAAGTAGATTGTGGTCTTTTTTGTCGAATGCTTGCTGAAGTTTAAGTATAGTATGTACACAGCATTTCATTGTCTACTAATTTAGTCACTTTGTCAAAGAATGACATAAGACTGGTTTGGCATGAACTGTTTTAACAAACCTGTTCTGGCTTCAGTTATAACTTTATTTGTTTATAGATGTTCACAGATCTGTATTTTGATTATTTTTTCCCAGTATCTTCCCAGGTATTGATGTTAGGCTGATTGTGAAACAGAATGGAAAGTTACCAGAAAAGTATTCTTATAATTAGCAGAAGTTTCTTGGCTTATATCGCAAATATTATAGAAGTTGCTTAATATGATATTGTGAAAACCAGAAAGTTGCTGAATCTAAGTCTAAGAATAATGACCTATGAACTAGATATGTTCTTGTAAACAGCTAAATGGCAAGGGTGGCAAGGGTGGGTATGGAAAATAACAGATGGTGTAAGATAAGTATTTATATGCTGAATTGTGCAAAATGGCTAATTAGACTTACTTCCCCCTTTTGTAGTACGCTGAGACTGGGAGCTGCATAAAAGTAACCCCTCAGGAATAGCCGAGGGTTCAGAATTTGCCATGCTAATGCTCTGAACCTTTTGCGCAAATAATCCTGTATTCTCCTACCCTTTGTGGTCTTGTGTCCTGATTTGGAAACAGGATCTGCAGGAACATTTATGGCGACTCCGCTGGGACACAAGGGGCCCTGAGGCCTGCTGGGGGGTCCACCCTGGGTGCCAGTGCTTCGGTGAGTTGAAGGGAACATCCCAGGCGCCACTGGTCCTTTGAATCCGAGGGACTTCCCGATACTGCTGGGCTCTGGGAATGGTGGTTGACACCTTCAAGAACCACTGGTGAAGGTTAAGGAGACCAGGACATTTCCCAGCTGGCCAGTGGAGAAGGAACACGCCTGCAGGCAAGTAAAGTAATTGTAAGTTTTTAGCTGTTTGCTTGGCTTCTTCAAGGACAAGTTCTGAGGTCACATACTATCTCTTTTCCCCTATTCCCTCTGGTTACAAGACTGTTATCTTTTTTGGTTCATCTGCCAGAAAGTAAAAAAAGGTCAGCTGAAAGAGAAAATAGGGTGTTGTCTGCAGGGATAGTGACCAGGCTGAGCCCGAGAGAGAAGAGTTAGATGCATCATCAGTCTTGAGTCCCTTGGTGCCCACAAGAGATCTAAATTCAGCCCACCTTGAATTCTGTTGACTCTTATCTTTTGCTAATTTGCGATGACCATTAGTAGTTCAAATTCTTGTTGCAATAAACTTACATATTCATTTCAACTGATTTTCTGTGCTTGACAAGGTGAGTGTTAACCTCCTTCAATCTTGCTTTTTAATTAGGTTTGTTTTAATTGTCTTAATCAGGGTGTCAAACTCACATCATCACAGTTGCATCACATGCATCACGTGACTCCCCCCTCCTTTGTTAAACCAGGCGTGGGTGTGGCCAGCATGTGATGCAGCAAGCCCGCGGGC